ATCCCTACAAAGCCGGGACGGAGCACGCCGGGTTCTCACCGGACCAGGCTCTCACATCACCAAGCGCGAAGCGCCGTGAGATGCTCGGCGAATCGCATGAAGGGTGCGCTGCATCTAAGGGTGTTAGGCATCTTGCGCTTACTTCCTTGCGTACGGATGACAGCTGAATATGACTTAATTTATTTTCTGGCGCATTCACTTCTAGAGAATGTTATAGGCACTGTGTAACTGCCTCGAGGGCGCTTGACTATTTTAACACAATGTGGTGCGATCATCCCCCTTGCGCGGAGTGAGGGTTCTCCACCCCGCACAACATGATCCACTCGACCACCATTATGATTACCGCCGAAAAAAAACAGAGGTAAAAAAAACAAACGGTACCCTAGTTGCCGAGTTCACGAAGTGAATTGGCTTGTTTTACAACGTCGTTACCAAGCGACGAAAACCCAACCCCGATGGCAAACACCGGGGGGGGCGGAGGGGGGGGGAATCGGAATGAGAGGGTCTGCGACAAAAAAAAAGAATTAAGGTCGGAGAGACTCACGCTTGCAACTTCGGTAACTCATAATCTACGACTACATATGTAACTTCCGTAACTCTAGAATTCCTCTTGTATACTGTAATAAGTATACTGAAGCCACTCATCCCATTCTAACTTTAAATACCCAAATCACTTGAAAATACTATAGGACGCTGATGCACCAGATGCTACTGCTGTATCACTCACTCGCCACAACCGCGGCCGCTCTGGGCGCGAGACACGGCGTGCCGCACCTTGCGTGCCTCCGTCTCCCTCCGCACGAAAGGAGAGCGCTGGATGGTAGCTGAGAGATTGACCTCACGGCAGCAACCAGTAGACTCCCCCAAACCGAGTTTAACCTTTCTTTATACCGCAACCGGTTGCGCCGCACCTCCGCAAGCTCACCGCGCCGTGACCGCGGCCGCCGTAGGCCCGAGACGCGGCGGGCAGCACCTATTGTGCCCCGGTCTGCCTCCTAGCGAATGAGCCGGAGGCTGAAGCAACCAACAGCTTTTTTGACAAAGGGGCCTCACAACAAACAACCGGTACTGGTTATTGTTGCTACCCTACACAAGGTTTTTAATAGTATTTTTTAAAGAAAAATGGCCCGGTAGGGAGACGCTTTTTGTTTATCAAAAAGAAGGTGTTTAGAGGGGGGGGGGGAACGGGCTCAAGTAGTCTGCCTGTCTGTCTCCTGTATGTCTGTCTGTGACCAGCCTCGATATATTACCCAGCAAATTCCAGCCCATTTCACCACCTCGGCACCAAATTGCAACCTAAGACGTGTTCACAACAAATAATATTTTGCCCGAGCTGCCCCAACTGCTACCTTTTCAATCCGTGCTCGGTGCGTCGAGATAGTGCAGCGTCGGTGCCCAACTTGAAGCAGGGAAGTTTCTGGCCCCTTGCAACACAGCCGGAGGCGTCGTTTGATTTTGAACCCAAGGACAGATAGCCTCGCACACCACACACCACACACACAGAGCCAGACATAAACAAACAGGGAGAGCGAGAGACAGACCGCAGCGAGGGCGACACGGCGGGAGAAGGGTGTGCCATACAGTGCTGTTGTTAGCTATCGGCGGAGGAAGCGAGATGAGAGATCAACACTTGGTTGCAGCAGCAACAGCAGCAGCAGCAGCAGCAGCAGCGGCCTCTCTCTCTCTCTTTCCGCGGAGAGAAGCACATGACACCAACAACACACAGACGCTGCTACGCACCACCATTGGTGCGACATGTACTGCTGTACGCCTCTCTACACTTTTGTGCGCGAAGGCCTAGTGTGCGACCAGTGCCTCCCGTGCTAGCCTGGCTACCCATCACACGCTTGAACGCTTTTGAGATTTCTCGATCAAAGCTCGAACCAACAAGCGAAGCACAACAGCAGAGACATTTTGTTTTTTAAGCTGCTCGCTCTATTTTTTAACCCTTTTGTGACTACACCCCTTCTGAGTGTCGATAAGAATGTTGTCACTCTTCCTGTCGCACAAGTTTTTCGTCGAAAGTCGCACTACAAGCGCGGGCTCGACAGCGCGAAAAGATAGCGTTCTCAGAGGAAGTCTGAACGCGGGGACACCAGACACACAGTTTCCGACGCAAGTAATACACGAGCAGGGAGTTCCACTGCGGTGCAGATCCGCGAGTGCGCGCCAGACCACACACACACAGACGCCAGCAGGTGCGATGAAGACAAAAATTTTCGCCCTGCTGGCGGGTTTTCTCCCCCGCACCATCATGGCTACTGCTGCTGCTGCTGCCGTGTCTGCTGCTGCTCTTCGC